ATAGTGCAGATGGTTACCTTCACAATAGCAATATCATTCATCAACGCAAACGAATGATAATTTCGGTGAGGGATGATCATGGCTACAGGGAATGTATTTTCGTAATTAGCAGCTCGATAATCGATGACACCTGTAACGATTCGAATACTTTCTGGACGAAGCATTCTGTCGTTTTCATCGAAAACACAATGGGCAGCTGTCAGAATGTGCATTGCGTCGATGATGCTGCCTCCGCAGAAATGAGAGCTTGCCTGCTGCATGGATACCTGATGAGGGAACTGTCCTAACCGGGTGTTCTGTCCATTGACAATGTTCTCGAAATGCTGGGCATATCCACCTGTCAACATTCAAATATAAATTCGCATTCAATCGGCCAAAGCTCCGTTTAATAATCAGTACCACTTGTAACCATGTCCCCCATTCGTAAAATTAAAGGAAAAGCTTACACCGACTTCAGTTCGACTTCTTGTTCGAGTATTGATTGATCATCAGTCGATCGACTTCATAACTGCCAAGAGATGCTTACCAGAAATGTGAACTGCCAAAGACAGCATCAACTGGATAACCTTGAACTGCATAATCTTCAGATCCAATTGACAACTTGACCGACTGCCTGAGAATAAAAATTTTTTAATTAAAATTACAATATTAAAAAATATTAATATTAATATTAAAAATTATTTGGATTTCCGGAGTCACTCCTCTGCTGAAGATCTTCTGAAAAATATTATTTAAATGGGTAATTATTGGTAATTCCAGTAAAACCTAGATATTGGTTTTCTCAGTTGGTTCGTCCCATTTCTTTCAAAGCGGTCCAAGAGACATCATCAGTTCCAAAATTTTTTTTGGGAAAAATAATAAAATTTACTTTTCATTGGTCTTTTTTTCTTAAAGCTTCAGATAAAAGTTATTGAAATGACTAGTTATGTAATTCTTCCGGGTCTCTGCTTCAGAAGAAAAATGATATTGTCACGATGAATTTCCGAGAAATCGAGTTATTTTTACATGATTTGACGTAGTTTTTATTTCAAATTCTGTGAAGAAAAAAATGATAAAATTTACTGCTCGTCTCTTATTTTTTCTTAAAACTTGAGATAAAAATTATTGAAATGATTTTACACCCGACGACTACGTGACTAGTCATGTAATTTTTCCATGTTTTTCTCTTCGCGTAGTGAATAAAAACCGCACGCTCGTCTCTAAAATTTTACAGTATTTTTTTTCCTAGCCGGAAGAATTGTTCAATTGAAACTTCATAAAACAACCCTCTAGTAGATTCACCATGGTCTCAGGTTTTCTAATATTATTATTAACAACTGTAGCTATTCTCCCAGGTAAGAGCTAAATAATAATAATTATTACGATAATTTTTCATTTTGAATATTTTCAATGTCTTGATCATCTCTTCAAATTGAGTTGGATCGAATATAATTTAAATAATCAATAAACGGGATGAAAACCATAAAATTCACCACAGGGCTAGCAATATTATTAAGAATATTGATAAATTATTTTTAGAGGTGAAGAGCGTAGCAAAATTGGCTGAGCCGGGAGAATTTCCTTTCATCGCAATCATTACTGCTAATAATAATGTCACCACCTTCGGGGTCCTCATCAGTGCTAACGAAGTTGTAGCAGCTTCCATAAATATACCCATCCCTCCTCAAATAATTACAATTCAATTCGGATGCATATTTCTAAATAATTGCAATACTCCAAAATTCTTAGTTGAGCGCCTTGAAATGGACAGGCGAGTGAACATCTTCAGAATGAAGGTAATCTACTTAAAGATCTCTGATAAGAGACAAGAATAATTATGCGTTATACATTAGAATTTTCCGTCTCGATTATGAACATGTGGAGATCACATTGACCAATGAGAAATACTCCTTGTTTATGTTTATGACATACGGGAACACAGTCCTTCCTCAAATTTCAACAGAATATTTATATAACGCTTATATTGTTCATTTTTTGGTGCTACTACATGAATTTCTATTTCGTTTTTCAACGATAGATATATAAGAATCGGAATTCAATTTTTTTTTTAATAAAATAAATATATATAAAGAATCATAATACTAATAATGTATATAATTATACATAATGGATTTTTTAAGGGATCTACAATGAGAAAAAAAATTATTTTTGCCAAGAATATTTTCTTCCCACAAGTAAATCTGACGATCACTGTATAAATACTCTCATAAGACTTACTAATGCAAATATATTTTCTTGTGGTTAGTAAATATTCTTGACTAAAGAAAATTTTTTTCTCAGTGTAGGCAAGTGATAAGTCACATGAACTATTTTTTTATATGATAAAGTCAATATTGTGATCATAATCAAGACGAAATAGACCGGTGACAGATTTCTATTGATTTCGCTTTTTTCCTCAAGAATTCTCTCATTTTAATTTTTTTCTTTTTTTCAGCTTTCAAATAATACTCATCATATTGCGCCAATACCAAGGGGTCCATCACAGAATTATGATAGTTACTCGTGTAAATTCGTGGGATCAGACTTGAATTCTCGGAGAATATTGTCGCTGGATGTGATACCTATTAATAAAGATGATTGTCTAAAAGTAGGAATGACTATTTTTCCGGACCAGCAATGTTTTGAAGATCCATCCTTGTCTCACGAGTTCAACTGGGTATGGATTTATTAATACGAATAAATTAATTCGAATAATTAATTGCATTTTACTGAGAGAATTTTATGTTTTTTCTCACGACAGGGAGACGTTGGCGGTCCAGTGATTTGTCATGGATTTCTGATTGGACTGCTTTCCGCAAATTCTAGGCTAACTCAGAATATACAGTTCATGTATGATTTAACTAGGCGCCGGCGGCAAAGTAAAGAATTTTTGCGAATGCCATACCGAATACTCGGATAGCAATGTTTAGAGGATAAACCTTATGATATATTTTGATGATTACATCCCATACTTGTAGTGTAAGAAATTATGAATATTCTTGAAATGTTTATGTCGTCTTGCGACAAATTTTTATTCTGTAATTAATTATGACGGTATAATAAAAAATGCCACGAATCGAGTAGAAATTGCGATATATTTGGGAAATATTTAACCATGAATACCTGATTTTACCTGATTTTTACTAAACTCATCCTGTTTTTATCGTACGTCAGCCCATTTCGCTATAAATTTTCCAACACTTACAAAACATTTACAACAACCTTATTCCGATGAAGTGCGATTAAAAAAATTTGGATTACGCCTCACATATTCTTAAATTCCTTTTTACAACTCTGATTGGCTTCCAGAGGCGTTAGATAAATGTATCAATCAACACAGGTCGGCTCAGAGCTTCAATTCCATTAAAATTTTCACGATATGCGTTCTCAATTTGTTTAACTCTCCACCTTTTACCAGCATCACAGAAGAATTTTTATTCTTCAAAAAACGAACGGTCTTTTAAGACACATCGATGATCATTAAACAAAAATCAACTGCACGAAATTTCTTTTAATGTAGGCGGATTTGGATTTTACTCACCTGTTCTAAGATGAGACAGTGTTTATCAGGGGATAGCACTTTCAATTATGCACAATTTCGAAAGACGGAGAAATTGAATCGATACTATGTACCTCTCGAGAAGAACTCGAATAAACCGAGCTCTCTGTTTCTATTATATATTCCACAACGACCGGCTTTTTTCTGGATGACCAATAATTCTCAGATATCCACATATTATAAATCTTTCACCGTTTTTCAATCGCACTTCACAGAAACCTTACCGGAATGATTCCAATGGAATCATTCATTTTCCATTTGTTGAGGCGAGATTATTCTGGGGTTTATCTCAAAAGTTTTAGGAAGCTCTCGAGTTTTCCAGATAATATGATAACAAATGTACTGGAAGCCCAATAAATCGGTGTTTTTCAATAACAATAATTATCTTTATTTTATCAAAGCAATTTTCATTCACTATTTATAAGATATTGTTGCTCATAATAATGAGTTGATGAGCCAATAGTATTCCGTCTTGATAAAGGTAATCGATTGTAAATAGAATTTTCAAAAAATTTACACTATAATCAATCAAATTATTGTGGAAAATTATCGTGATTTTTGATGACTTAGTGACAAAACATCGTTGATCCATGGAAGATAAGCATAAACACGTGTGAAGACATCTGGGCTTGCTTTAGCACATGGAAGCCCATCACCAATCTCAACCCACGAGGCGATCCCGACGATTTCATCATTGTGGGTGAGAGCACCACCGCTATCACCCTAAAATATTTAATTAAAAAAATATTTATTAATTTATCGAAGGTGTGGAAAGTGTCGAGTACTCACGATACACATTCCACTTCCTGGGGCGCCTTTAGCGCATAGTTGTCGAGGGGTGATCACTCTCCCATAAATATATTGGCATACCCTTAGGCTTACTGTTATCATGTTAAGTTTCTGTAAATATCTCATCTGTTTTCTTCTCCTATTGTCATGATATCCTCTGCCCCAGCCGGTTACGGTAACCTCTACTCTCGATTGTGTGTTTTGAGTTGGTAATTTAATTGGCCTTTGATAATCGTTGAAAGGTATTTGTCTGCTCAACTGCGGAAAGAATACACGAGAAAAAAATAAAACAATTAAAGCCATCAATATTGTAAGTCATTCCGAAAGGAGAGAAGAGAGATAAATCGAAGAGAATTGCAGTATTTAAGGCCCGGATGGACTGTCTGGAAAAGATCATTTACTCCAAAATTGGGACTTCTAATTACTCCGTCAATTAATCGTTTTTTTTCGATAATTATTAGCTAGCGGCCTAGTTGTTGACAACCGCTAAAACGCTAGCTAACAATTATTGAAAAAAACGATTAATTACCAAAGTAATTAGGAATCCGAATTTCGGAGGTAATTATCTTTTCTAGATAATCTACCCGAGTCTTAAGGCTAAAATGCAATTATTGCGGTAAAAGAAAAATTGGATTCACGTGGAATTTTTCGATAAATCCCTCAACTCTTCTCTCTATTGAACATGAAGATGGAATTCTCACTTTCAAAATAGCAATATCATTCGCCGGTGGCTGTGGGCGGAAATATCTATGGTAATACACCATGGAAACTCTGAATGTATTGGTGAAATTTGACTGTGCCCTATCGATTACACCTGTGACAACTCGCAGCCCTTTGAGATCAACATTATAATTATTCGAAACCACACAGTGCGCGGCAGTTAAAATATGAATTTCATCGATAATACTTCCTCCACAGGTATGCCAATTCATCCTCTGGATGGAGACCTGATGTGGATAACGCCCCAACATCGCGGATTTGCCGTTAATAATTCTCAAAAGATCTGTTGAATATCCACCTAAAAATAATCACGATTTTTTCTCCATTTTTATTCAATTCTCCATTTTTATTTTTATTATTTACACTGAAAAGATAAATTGTTAGAGTAAAATTGTTGCAGGAATGAGTGTGAAATTTCGCATGAGAACCATTTGAACATTGATGAATCAATCAATTAATTGATTTATTTTTACCGATAGCTTTTCATGGATCGTGAGGATGTTTGATGGATCGAGGCATAAGTGCAAACGAGATGAAACCAAGAGTAATAATTTGCGAAATGTTGGTCGACTTACAGGAAATGCTAACTGCGATGAATACTATCAATTGAATTCCTCTGAACTCCATCGCTGGTTCCGACGATTCGCTTGATGATGCACCTCCAAAACTCGAAATATTAATAATATTAATATATTAATATAAGCCTTCTCTGGAGTCTCGCAAGCGAAGATTAAAATATTCACTAGTAACAGTAAGATACCGGGAAAAAAAATTGTAATCGAAATATTTTTTCCAAATTTTCAAAATATTTTTTCCAAATTTTCAAAATATTTTTTCCAAATTTTCAAAATATTTTTTCCAAATTTTCAAAAAATTTCTGGAAAATTTTTCAGAAAAATTTTTTTATAAAAAAAAATCAGGAGTCAACACAATTTTATTTTTGGGGAAGATTTTTAAAAATTTATCAATAATTTGAATAGGACATTTTTTTTTAAATTTACATGGCGTATTTGTTGAGAATATTGAAAAATCGAAAAAGTAAAAAAACAACAGAATAATTAAAAGAAAAAATTATATTCGCAAATATTTCTAGAATATTATAAAAAAAAATTTGTTTTGTTCCGGATGTTTTTTTCGTGTCAAAAAAAAATTTTCTGAAGAATTTTCGAGAAATGGTTTGAAAATTTGGAAAAAATATTCCGATTAATTTTTTTTTACCCGGAACGACCAACAGAAGGTGAATTTCTGGATAAGCCCTGATCACACACGAGTTTCAACAGAAATAAATCTTTTATACAGAATTTCTTTATTAATAGCGGACTCCAAGAAAAGAATCTGCAGAGTTTATGGAATTGCTAATAACACATCGAAATCGAAAGTGATTAATCATTTGTACAGTACATCAAGCCGCACGTGAGTTATTCACTGATTCCCCGGGACGTTCTTGTTATTGTTTCTTAATCTAATTAAAACAATAATTCTCGCATTCCATAACATTTATTCAGATTTTCCAGAAAATAATCAAATGGTGCGACGATCTTTGTGGAATCCATATAATTCTATCCACCCATTATTATTTTTTAAATTATTAAGTACAAGAAATAATTCGCAAAAACCATAATTTATTGTTATTCACAAAGTTTGTACTGTTATAATTTCCACGTATTAAACACGTAATGACTATTGAATTTGTTTGAAGTATGTCATACTCTGCGATAATTGAGAATTGTATTCGCATTTTTTTCTGCGACGCGTGTCACATCACATTTCGATTAACTTTATTAATAATTCATTGTTCATGTGAGAAGTAAAACGTCCCTGAGTAATGAAAAATTATTTTATTTAATTGAAACAAATATAATTACAAAGAGAGGAGAAGTATGATTTTTCCATGGTGAGTGATCATTAAAATTTTATGCTAATTAAGTTTTTCAAATAATATTATACGGTGTAAATAAAATAAATAAAATCGGTGTAAAAAAAAATAATGATGGTGATTTAATATCAAAAGACCAATTAATTTCGCCTAGTTGTTAGAATTTTGTGGATAGAATGGCATTCCATCGAACTCGAAGTTAAAATATTGAGATAAAATTCGTCGACTGAAATAGTTTATGCAAAAAACATTAATCAATCTGTTGAATGATGGATCGCTTGTAGAAATCGATATTCGTAAATATACAACGATAATTTATTATACAAAATGAGAGTAGTTCTTTCTCCTGTACATTTAATTTTTGTTATTATTTTTATCTGGGGAAGGAGTTTCGAGGGTGAACCATCCGTGCAGACACTTTGGAACGGATCCTGGGGTGTGGAATGTCACTCTGGTCATCTCTTTCATCGATTTCGCGTCTAGAATCAAGAGGCAAACGTCCGATTCCCTTCCTTCTCCATATATCGCAGCACTCAAAATTATTCCGTGATCTTCAGCCTGAAAGGAAAAAAATCAGAAAATGAATTTTAATATAAATTTAAATTTTTTGGTTATTTTAATTCAACACGCAATTGTTTACGTACCTGAGACTGTGGATGAGCTACAAAAATAGGTTCACTGGGATAAAGACCTGGCTCGCTCCAGGTTAATGAAGTTTTTTTCAATGTATCCACTTTGATTATCTGCTAAATGCAAAGCTGTTTTAAAAAATGAATTTCAATCATGATATCTTAAAATAGAAAAAAATCGGTTACCGTGCCAGGATTTTCTACATCAACATCACTGGAGATGGCGTAGAAATATCGATACTGTCTCCCCAGATATCTGGAATTATATCGTGGAGTTTCACATCCCAAGTTGCAGATTAATTCCGGCTCGACGAAGACAGTACCGTCTGATTGTCGACGAGCGCTGGCTCGTCTCTCAAAAATATTATCTCTCCAGTTTGACTCGACATGATTAATTTTATCAGTCATCGGTAGAACAAATCGAAGTGGCCTTGCTCGAAATAATTTCGAGTAATCCGGATTCTTGTGCATATTCCTCATGGCATCTACGTACATGCAGTCGAGCATTTTGGCATTGCGATAACAGCAGATATCAATTACGATGTGATCTCTTTTTTCAGATTCGTACTGATTGATTATGTGGAGATAAAAAAATGGTGCTGCGGTGAATGTTCTTTCTAGGGCACCAGTTGCACGTGATAAAACATGAATCAATGTCTGAAAATATTAAAGAAAACAATTCGTGATAACAATTATTTCGTCAATTAGAAAATTTTATTTCGCAAGTAGGAGAACGAGATCTTCACTCGAAAATCCCCCGCAGGGTGGACTATTAGGAACTAAAATGGGAAGAGTAGAAGAAAATTACATTTTCCTTCTCGTACCACTTGAGAGCTGAACATAAAGGCTTGTTCTTTATTTTGCAGTTCATCAGAGTGATCATACCCACAGCCAAGGGTTGTTCTATGATGATGAAGTAATTCTCGGTGATTCCAAACGTATGCATGTATGAAGGGTTCAACTTCCATCTTGCTGGAAGACTAGTAACAACTGATGCTCTCTCAAACATGCTCTTATCGTTCGTATCATTATCTGCAATATCAGATCAGTATCGAAATGGTGAAGTGCATTTTTTCCAGTATCTCCGAGTTGACGGAACATAACGAAATGTTTGATTGAACATTTTTTATAGGAAAAAATGAGAGCTACAAAAAAGGTATTTATAAAAATATCAATTTCACGGTATCAACCCGTGAAAATTGGGAAAATTCAGGAAATGATTTATCAATTTACCAAAAATTTCAAAAAATAAACGCATGACTATGAAAATTTGTGAGTCATTGAATAATCGTCAAATCTAGTTCCGAGAAATTAGCAAAACACATGAAAAATGAGAAGATATTCAGCTCATTAACATGTCGATGGAAAAACTCACCAGCTCTTGAAGCAGTTGGAAAACACACGACACTATAGGCTGGTCCCCTGGAAGTTATACTCAACCCAACATTGAAGACAGTTCCATCATCAATAACATGAGGATGTGACGTATGATTGACGACTCCGACGTAATCCGAAATGCAAACCTGAAGAATTTCAACGACTCATTCCAATAATCAATCAATTGCACGTGATACCTTCACTCTTTTACTCGAGTCAACAAATCAAATCATCTTCCTTATTATGTCCTCATCATACCCTGAAGAGTTCACTTTGTATAATATATCGAAAAATTTTCATACTTTTGTAAATCTATTCTAAGAAAATTGCCTCTTCGTGGATTTTTCCTTCCAATAAAATATGTAAAAAACTAGAACTAGAACTAAAATCAGTGGATCAATTGATGAATTAATTAATTAATTAATTTCTACTCACTCGATCCTGAGTCTCCAGGGTTTTGGGATCAATCCTGTGGATGAATGGAGCTTCGGCGAATGTGTAATACTCATCTCCAAAGGGATAAACCGAAATCATGGAGTTATCCGACATTTCGTTGTCAATGTTAAAGACAGCTGCTACCCTAAATAAATATATATTAATATATAAACATATATTAATAAATTATAATATGTATAATGCTTGATGTCACAATCTGAGAAGAATAATTCTATCGTAAAGTGGTAAACTAGCATAAGTCAATTTATTTCGAGACCAGTTTTTACCCGATATCTCGGAATCGAATGGAGATATCGGTATTTTCATGAATACCTTTTTTGTAGCTCTCATCTTTTTCCGTAAAAAATGTCAATACCAAAAATCGCTATATTCCTTCAATTTCTAAATATGAGCGAAAGAAGTGCATTGAAAAAAATGTACTTATCGTAGTTTATTGATTTTGTAATTAATTAATTAATTATTTCTGGTTAATTAATTTATTACCGTTGGAATATCGTCTGGCAAGGGTCAGGAACGGACTTGGTTCCAAATTCAGTGAGGACTATTCTATTCGCCTGATGATTCCTCTTGAAAACATCCGTCTGGACGAATCTCCGTTGATACGTGACTCTTCCATTCGACACGTGAAACCTCCATAAAAATTCACAACATTACAATGGTTATTTAATAAAAAAATAATGGAAAAGTATTTTTATTTTTATTGATTTTTTATTGCTTTTGTTTAATCAAAAATTGTGCACTAATTATAGATTATAACATTTATGTTCCATGAGATTGGTCTGTTACATCTTAAAAAAGTCAGGATTTCAATAGAAATTGTAATAATAATTCAATTCAATTGCGATATTACCGAAAAACTCGCACTTATCCTAGTTTATCACTTCATGAACGATTTATTAAAAAGTTTTTCCGAGTTTTTCCTCAGAATGTTCATGAGTAATTTTCCAAAAATTCAGATACCTGTGTAGGAGGGCAGAGCTATCAAAGAGATGATCGAACCGGTAATTCCCAACTTTGAGACTTCCTGGTCCATTTCGCAAAAGAGTGCCAGTCAACCACTGTGGAATATCTCCACTGACCACCCCGGTGATAGGATCTCGAACTTCTTGCTCGCAGGATCTCATCCAAATAAAAGGATCACAATTTGGATAGTAATCAGCCACTTCATCCCCATTTCTCCTGTACCTCTGGAAGTTGCAGCAAGAGTCGTCGATTTGTTTAAAAATTTCCTTCATGTTCCCGTTTATTTATTCACTATCTTCTTCGATCGGCGGCTGCCGATTGTTATCGGTTACCGAATTAATCAGAGGTTTTAGAATAGCAGACAGTATTTGGTGGATTCGCTTGTGGGTACAATCCATCACCGATTTTTCTGATCTTTTTTTTCTGGCTCTCAGGAGATACCCGACGATTCGCCGTCAGATCGACGAATAACGACGTGGAATCGGTTACTGTGGCCTTTAAAAACAGTGGACTAATCACTTTAGTTAGATTGACCGAGGAAGCCGGATAACTCAATGTCATACGGATTAAGGTACACGTGTTTGCCTCTGGGTGAACGTCAGAGCCCTGATGAGGCGTTCTGATTGATGGAATCATATTGACGATAGGTTGGACTCCCTACTTCACAGGACAGGGGGACCGCGATCTATAATTTTTCGACATGTAAATTATATCCTGGTTCAATAATTTCAAGGTGACCATTAAGGATTGATGGAGTGATCCTAGAGTTCTCGCCGATATTTTCACTTTTTTGTGGACTGGGCCCCGCGTTCCTGCATGACCTCCATCTCTCATTAAAAAAACTGAAGCTAAGTATCATATTTAGAGCAGTAACGGCATGTCTAATCATTCTTACCGATTTTCCCCAGGTGATTTATTTTTGTGATACCATGATACACAAGAATTTGCACCCGCAGACGATCCAGGGTACACCGTGGTAAAAATAAATTCATGGGGCATCGTTCCGTTTTTTCGTCGACAATGTTTTTATATTTATCTTATATCAACAGACAATAATCATCAGCATATTGATTCCTCGCTCGATTAAATCAACTTGCCTTGAAGTTGAAAAAACACGGAAATTCGGGAAGAAAAAAATTCAAAAAACAAAAAATCCACTGCACTCAAGGTCTCTTCCATAACGGGGTATTATTTTCTATATTTATTTTATATTTTTATTATTATTTTCTATATCAGAAGTCGACGACCTTTATTTAAAAAAATTATTCCAACCGATTATCCGGCGGCCCTACAGAAGAAAAAATGAAAACAGAAAAATTCTGTTTTTTATATCGTCCAAATTGAATTCCAATTCGCGAAAAAGAAATTCAACAATTATGGGATTAATATAATTAATGTGATGTCATGGTTTTTCAGGGTAAAATAAGGGCGTATGAAAATCGTCATCAAGTTCTTGTTTCCACCCCAATATTATACGCTTCGTTCCACAGAGAAGAAAATTGAGATTACCACTGACGAAATCGTACTACAGCCTTGAGTATTTCAGTCGTACTAACATTGAAATAAGTATATTTACATATCAAATAACCACTGCGTCAGACGAATGTTAAACCTTGATCTTGATCAAGTGTTCTGTGAGATGTATTACTTCAGTCGACTGAACTTGGATTTTGGGAGGAAATCAATAGAATGTTGTGAGACTTAGGGAAATGGATGATTTATGCCCCCGAATTAACGCTTTGTATCCCCTGCCACTTGCATTTCCTGAAAAGTGAGACAAATATTCATTTTTTTTATCCATAACTTGTAGAAATTCACTCTAATTGCGTTGAATTAAATTAGGAACTCAATGAACTTGGGTAATCCCTTCAGGACATAAAATTAGTGATTTTTTATCCTTGGGTAGTCATACGGAGGCTTTCTCTCAAGGTATATGATGTTGAAGAAATTTTGAAGAACTGTGAATGGGGAAATCAGACAAGGAGTTTAAAAGATTATTAAAATAGCAATGCAATTTTAAAAACTCAGTACAAAATGATATTTTATTTTTTACTGTTGTCCTAAACGAATAAATAACTGAATCATGAGAGTATAAAATACAAATCACACAATAGATCATGGATAAATCATGAACTGATGACTTTCTTGATCCATTCAAGATGATGAGGAACACTGGCAAAAACATCAGGTTTTCCGCTGTATCCGCACTTTCCTCCAATGAAAGATGCAACACCCACTAGCTTATCACCGTAGACCAGAGGTCCTCCACTATCTCCAAAGCAGACGCCAACTCCCCGCTTTGCCTTTATGCAAATATGATTTTCATCGATGTTCCATCCGTAAGCATCACGACATATTCTTCGGGGAATCACGGAAAAATCCGCTGCCTGCTGTACCTGAGGTACACTTTGACCTGACAGTCTGTATTTTCCCCACCCTGCGACTGTCACCTGAGACCAGGCAGGGGGTGGAGACTTTGATAGCTGAATTCTCATGGTGTAGTCATCGAATTTTATTGGGGTCTTTAGCTGCAAAAGATAAATCCATCATTGAACGAAAATCGTGTATTAAAAAAAAATCCACTGATCAACATTAGGGCAAATGAAAAATATCTCTTGCTCTTGGAAAATAGGACAGTTGTCATACCTTTATGATGGCAATGTCATGTCGGAAGCCACCGGGATGTCGATAACCCGGAAAAATTCGTACACCATCGATAAGATGAAGTTTTCCCTGATTTTTCCATTCTAGACTTCCCGTTCGCACTTGCACCTGACGAAGGTGTGAACGTCTCATTCGGATGATGCAGTGGGCTGCAGTTAGGATATGTAACTCTGATATTATGCTACCACCGCAGAAGTGACGACCAAGACGACTCAGGGACACCAAAAATGGAAAATCACCCTCTTCAGCACCAACACCGCCGATGATTTTCTCGTGCTTCGAGGCATTGCCCTCTGCAAAATCCATAGAATTAATTATTCTATCCGTTTAATTCATCAATTTTATTTACTCCGAAAGAAAACTCGGAACTCTAGTATTTAATTTTCAACTCTATTTATTTATAAAATATTATTGAATCACCAAAAAGTGATTAGAGTCGATTTCAGTGATAAAGTTTTTTTGAACAAAAATCGACTCAATCTTTTGATTTAATGCAATAGCGAATATTTTTTCAGTTAATCCAGCTTTGCGAATGATTCACTCACGAGATATTGTGGCAAGATAAATTAAAAAAACGAAATATGATTTTTGAATCTGCGTCAACTCCGACATTTGCATGGTCGACAAAAAAATCAGGGGAGCACAAGTTCAATAGGATAGGATATTCAATAGAATTCAATAGTTCAGGGAGACAGTTCAATAACACAGTTCGATTGAAACTGATTCCCATGGTCCACCCAGAAACTATAAAACCAGTGGCCCTAACTTTCCTTTTAACCAGCATTTCCACACAGAAAGGTGCTTCAGCAGTATTGTGATCTGTAGTGAAAGGTCCGTCTGTGTTAATCGTAGATTACGCGATCCATTAACGATGCAATAACTGTAACCAAAATTACGTATTTATTAATTACGTACCCAAATAACGTCTTCTAACATGGACAGGTTATTTAATGAGTGATATTATGAGACGGCTTTCATTTTCGGAATTACTAGTTCTCAAAGATGAAATCAGAATCTCTCATTCGTGTTACATATTTTATTCGCTGTATTATTTTTCTGGCCTCAAATCCTAGGTGACACGCGTCGTTAAACTTCTAGTATTAGAAAATTGTTGAAATTTTCTGGTACTGATCTATTCCTTCAAATTACATAATTACTCGTTGAGATTTGTATTAAAAAAATACTTGTTATAAAAACAATATGATATAATTGCCTCAATGATACACTATTGAAATCATGGTACCATGGAAAATGATTATTCCAAGAGAGATAAAAAATGACAGAGGAAACAGTTGTAATTCCTTTTTTTTCATGTGGTTTTTTTTTAATCAAGGATTTTTTTGGTGAATGATAAAGAAATTGATGACAGCAATAAATTAATTATCAGGACATTGATATTTTATTCAATATGAAAACGCAAGGATACATATAACTCTCAATTTTTCGTGTCTGCTATGATTTTTCGTATCCAATTCCTGTAGTGATGGACACTGGTGTAGACATCGGGATATCCAACAGCGCAGGGTCGACCATAGGACACGACACCAGCAAGTTTACCATTGAGGGCAAGGGGACCACCACTGTCTCCCATGCAAACTCCTTGGCCAACCGAACCAAAAGCACACACCTGCTCGTTGGGGAGTGTTCTAGAGTGACTTCGTTTGCACACACTCGATGACACAACTTTCATCGTCACAGTGTACAAATTGGTGGGTACTTGTCTATGACTTGCACTGCGCAATCCCCATCCGGAAGCTACAACAGCGGCATCAGCTCTTGGAGCAGTGTTAACCAGTTCGATTACCTTGGTGTTTCTGTCGAGTGTCATAGGGCCCTTGATCTGAAGACGATAACAAAAATTAAATAGAAGATAAATCAACGAAATGAAAATTAAATATACCACATATGAAGCTGTCAATAGAAAAACGTTGTACTATTAAAATAATTTATTCAACTTGTGGACCGGTAATTTTAATGATGACTCATTACAATTAGCGGAATGTAAAGATTATACCGTGATTATGGCAATGTCGTGGGGTGATGTTGTCTCTCCAGCTTTGTAGCGAGGATCAATGTCGATTTTTTCTGGTATGTACAGCTTTCCACCAGATCTGGAGGACAGTGAACCAGCTCTGACACGAAGTGAGCTTACTTGGGCTGGTCTTATATCAGTGACACAATGTGCGGCTGTTAGGATGTGCCTGTTACTGATGATGCTGCCTCCACAGAAATGATGTCCTCCACGACTGATGGAGACAATGTATGGGATTTCACCTTGCGCTGCGAGGTTACCACCAACAATCCGCTGAGGAGGTTTGCCATAGGCAACTAAAAATCACCAAAGGATTCGTTATCAATGAAAAATGTCGAATCAGTAATTGATTCTATTGGAGAATAGGGACATCTTACCAGAGTTGATGGCTAGTGCCACGAAGATGAGAGTTAGGCTTGTCATCCTGCTGTTGTCAGGTTGTCGAATGTATCGTTGGGAAGATGAGGCACAGCTTTATATCCACCGCTGGGGATAAAAATACGTTGCTGACACCTGTTGATGTCTTGCTCCTTGATGCACATATTGACAAACGAATGGATAAATAAATTGGCTGATTGCGGTTGATGTTTGATGGGGAATTTGATCTTGGTGTTTAAAGATGGATGAGGAAGTATCAGTGAAATCGACATTCATCCGGCCATTCAAAGTTATAAAAATATTGGAAGAAATGTTTTGGATTGACGTCACGATATTGATGGAAAGTAATCCATGTCGCCGGTGCTATTGGGCGATGATCATTTCGGGTATGTTTTGTGATGCTGTCAAATGCCAAATTTTCAGGAGCGATTATTTTTCCTCATTGGAAAATTCCTAATTTTTTAAGACGATTCTTTTTCATTATTGTAGAATCAATTGGTCTAGCTAGATAGATCATACAGCCGTTATTAATTAGCCATCATTAATTCATGTAATCAATTTATTCAATGTATCATCATTGAGCTCATCCTCCGATGAATGATGAACTTCATTGCAGTATTTCATTATTTTCATAGATAATTCAATATGCGATTGAAATTTAATCAACATTTTTCTCATTTTCGTTAATTTACAAATTTTCTCTGGTATTCTTCACTCTGATAATCCGTGTAATTTAATTTTCCACTCCACTGCTTCTGTATCTTTTGCTCTCTGCTATCATCATGACTGTTGAGAGACAATATTGATTATTGTGTTATAGGTAAGAAAATTTGTCAACTCAAATTTTTTACGTTTTTTGTTTGATTTTGATGATATCTCAATAATATATTTCAAGTCCATTCAATTTAGTTCATTTGATGTTACAAATGTTTTCTCTTCTTTTACATCAGCATCAGTCTTCATCAACTCCCAAGAAACTTTAATTATAATAATAGAACACATAGATATCGAAGAGCCGGCGATAAACTCCGAGAATCCAGCGTACATTTATGTTTATGTAAAGGACACTTTGAGGACAGCAGAACTTTTTTATGAAAAGCAAGTCAGAATAACTAAAGCATCAATTTTATAGAAATATCGGCCTTTATTGAGGTTTTTTTACAATGCTTCTTATTAAACATTTCAACACAATTTAATAAAAAGTTCATGATGAATGGGACAGGGAAAATCAATCTAATGCCAAAGATAAGATTAAACATCTTTATATTATGCAATTGCATACAAATAAATAATCAATAAATAAATGAGGGAAAAATTTAAATTATTAACGATAAACGCTTCGTCCAATGCAGTCCATTCAGCAGCGAAGAGATAAAGATCACTCGACTTATATTCCTCAAAAACATCCGCGTTAACTAAATCGGCTTGTCATGTTTAGCTTTAATTACTTCGCTGCATAATTTCCAGGATGAAGTCCCGGTACGCGTACACATCAGTGTAACCATCTGGAGCTGCTGAATCCCAGGGAATATTCCAGGATGCTACACCAACGACGACGTCATTCACCACAAAAGGCCCACCGCTGTCTCCCTGACAGAGTGATTAAAAATAAACAAGTGTTGGGAAATTTGGAAATTGTGTAATCCATTGATATCTGTATCAACAAGTACCTTTTGGATGCCGACACCTTTTGGAGCCAGGCCACAGATTTGACCCTCAGCAATTGTATGTTTGACGTATTGCTGACACTCATCCCTGCTGATCACAACTGCTGGTGCCTTCTGAAGGATCTTCCATGAATACGAATGTGTAGCTTTCAACCGACCGAATCCACTTACCACACCTTTTTCATTGTACGGCGCTGGCGATTCCGGGAGAGATACTGGTCTCTGATTCTCATTGTAATCAATCTTGTTTTTCAGCTGAATATTTGAAAGCATAACATATTTATTTGAGAATGAAACGAAAATTCAGAGATTGAATAATACCGGAATTTCTGGATTTAAGGATAATCCAGGTGTTGTCGAAATCAATCATTGAGCTTTGATGAATATTTCTCATTGTTAGAGGCATTCTTCTTCTGTGTCATGGAAAATAATTAATTTAACTCACCGTAACAACAGCAATGTCATTAACATGGCCCTTCATCTGAAATCCCTCGTGCCAACTGACATTGAATACTTCATGATGATTACCACCTTGCAGTGTACCAGTGCCCGTGACCACTGTTAAATCATCGTAAGGTGGTGCAAACAAATCAGCGACACAGTGTGCAGCAGTGAGAATGTGCTTCTCACTCAGTATAGTACCACCGCAACAATGATAGTCGTCATTTCTCAAGGACGCCTGATAAAAAACATCAGATGGATGCGCGTCTACACCACCGGATACTCTTCGCAATCTCGCTGCATCTACACCTGAGAATAATATTCCACAAAAAAAAAATTACGAAATGAGCAAATAGAGACTAGAATAGGTAATGCGAGGAAATACTGACCCTGAATTGTGGAACAATAAAACAGGCACACTGCGAATAAAAGCACACTTAAACTCGAGTGAGTCATTTCTTCTCGAGCAGGGACGAGGTTGCTAACGTCTGATACGCGTCGTCTGACACAACTGAGTGATGAGATAATTACATCGACTTTAACTGATTACGATTATTGTACATGAAAGTTATCGGTTGGGTAAATCTCATGCTCGGGCCACTGCCACCTAGGGAAATTTTCCAGAAATTGTCATTTTTTTTGAAAATCCTATTGGTTTTATATGGATTTACCAGAATTTTTCTACAACATTTTTAAACAAATTACCGGTTTTATTTACATAATCTTCTGGAATTCCAATAGGTAATTCTATTGAAAATAAGACATAAAAACTTCTCACAATAATAATGATACATCACAAGACAGTATGTAGAGAATATAATTTTTTAGCTAGAAAAAGATTATCACTAACATAAAATAATATTTTTTTCAAATGACAATTGACGTAAAAGACAAAAAATCGTCAGCTCTCCAAAAAATCTCACATGAAGAACCGTTAATTGTCAATAGGATCCCCAAGAACAAATGATTAAAAATATCAAATTCCAAAAAATCTCCAATATAATAAAAAAAAATTCTTCATATGCCTTAATCGATAATTAATATTCTGCAGTGCACCAAAATCGCCGACAGAACATCAGAGATTACTCAAAGTAATTATTGATTTCATGACGCCGTCAAATCAAATATTATCTTCTTGATAACAGAATGAGGATTTTTTTTTTTCCAGTGTGACGAAGGCAAAATGGAGAAACGATGCGGTGTGAAGACAGGGGTCGTCGTCCTAGGAGAACTCTCGCAAAAGATCTAGTCCTCGACGTGGTAATTGTCAATCTCGTATTATTAGTGAAATCACGGACACATGTTGTCTCGCGTGGGTGGAATGAGGCTGACGTCATTCTTGTGTACTCGTAAAAGAGTCCTCGTTCGTGTCCTCGCCGTGTTTGGCCCGACGACCGTTCGATGTGTCTCTACCCACTAGATTATTCCAGGTTGTTCTGTCCTCGTCTCAACAGTTCCTCGTCATTCCATACCTCTTCACGATCAGGGACGTTCTTCTTCCTCTATTCCTAGTGGCTCCTCTCACTTTTCCAATGTCCCAGTTAAAGCCACTGACTCGTCTGCCACTCTCTTCACATTGAGAAAAGAAAAGTATTATTCCCAAAAACATGATCTTCCTGATATTTTTTTTTATAGACTCGGTGCACTGTAAAATTCATTACTTATTACTTGATTATTGATATATCTATATCAATATATAAGTTCGTTTATTCTGCATGACCAGGATTCCAATTTCTTCTTTAACTTTTACAATCTTGTTATAGTGTATTATTATTATTTATTATTATAACCCCAGAAAATATAATATTTGAAAAGATATTTCTTCAGATAAGTGATTGCCAGATGCTCCAAATGGCAAGTACTCATTTGTAACAAGAGATTTATCCTGTTTCTTTAGAGAAAGAACAACGAAGAATAAAAATGACGTCTCAAGGGCCACCTCAGGGCGATGTTTTGCTTTTCTTCTCTCTCCTCTTCTCGGATGAAAGTGAAAGATGTCAAGGACGATGTGACGCATTCAGACAAGGTCACACCCGTGGAAGAGGTTGATGAACGGCCCCGAAATTGTCCCCTACAAGCGAGACCAATTGAAAATAAAAAATAAAATTGAATTTTCTACGTTACGCGCCTGTGCGGAAGACGATTATTCTGGCACAGGCGCTTCGTCGGCGTTGACGTCAGAAGGGGATGAAATTATTGGGGTTGTCTCGTGTTATAGGGGTTAGTAGAGCACCGACGAGGGTCATGATTATTTCGTGGCTGGAAATTTGGTGCTTTTCTACGTACCACCTGCTGGAATTTACTCCCGGAATCATGACCAGTCAACTCGGCATATTGAAATAATAAATGGAGATGCAATAGGTGCACATTCAAGTACAGAAAGATTTATTTTTACTCGATATGGCGCTTATCAAGTGCTGTTTCGAGGTCGAAGCGCCGGAGGTCCTGGAGAGCGTCGTCAGGAAGTGCACTGATCCTGGATGTGAGTTACCATTTTTTTTCCTAATTATTTACCATAGTTTTTTATCAATTAAATTATGTGTTGTGCATTGCTAACGATTACTTGAAGTTTCAATTATAATATCGGCGGGATCTCAATTATCTGAGCTTTAATTCAGTTTCAATTGCAAATTTTCACTTGAAGTTTTGAGCAGTCGTTTGGCGTAATGACAATTCAGGAATTTCCGACAGAAAACATTTTGCAAAAAAAAAAGTTGTCCTCAGAGTTACGAAATTTTTCCACAAATTTGAAAAGTAGGGAACCGTTTCTAAATTTCTCACAAAGTGAGATTGAATTCGATTTGAGGTGAAATAATTCATAAACTTGAAATACAATTCGGATTTTGAGGGAAATAACTTAATTATTAAATAAATATTTAAATTCCCTGAAATTTCAGTAAAACTCACTCGTTTGATATTTCAAATTATTAATTAGACGATTTTGTAATCCTGGAATAAAATTGCAGAACAATGTGGGAGTAAACAAATTCACCAGATCAATATATTGAATGGCCTGTGTTTCGTATTACAAAGTGATGTTCCATTAATATTGATGATACGATGAAATCGCTTATTTCCACCTTTGCGTGAAATTTTTGAGGTGAAGACCACGGAGTACCGTTGTTTTAATTTTTTCTATTTCGCGAATGAATTATTTATGTCACCAGGAAAGTCATTAGCCCCTTCCTCGAGGTCTTCAATCCGTGCCATTATTATTTCTCAAGTTTTCATTTCAACGTCTATGAATTTACATAATTCTGGAGAAGGAATTGGATATTGACAAAAAGCGTTTGCGTTACGTGACCGGAATCATTACACAGGCTATTCCGATTCTTTCATGTCTATCGATTTTCGAAGACCTATTTGTGGCCGCGGGGTGAGATGAGGGGAAAGTCGATGATCCAATTATTCATCCCCCGTTACTTGAGAAAGGGGTAAACAATTCGATTCACATGGAGAAAAGCATCTTGCATCTTATTTTCGATATCTTCTCACTTTTATTTTTTGTCTGTCTCTCACACGGAATACTCCATACGTGAAATTTATTGAGAGATGAGAGAGAAATAATTTTGATAAACCAATTTACTCGGCAAAATATATTTTATATAAATATTTTCGTTTAAGATGGGTGAATTTTCTAGTAATTAGACAGTTTTCTTGGCGAAAGCAATTTCTTTTCTCCCCGAAATTTTCGGAGTACATTGACAGGGCGAAAGAATTCCAAAGCTTCATAATCTCCAAGTTCCCATGCCGGAGAAGTCTCTCAAAGAGACTATTAAAAATAGAAAAAAAAAATGTTTTGAATAAATATTTGATATTTGATATTTGCCTTGACGGAAAAAATTCGGAATGGCGTCGGTATCTAGCGGTCATTCTTGCAAGTAGATCCTGAAAAAGTGAAAACTCAGTCGATAATCCCAGGATGGACAAGTTATGTAAGTTGACACGACCCTCCCTAAATTTAACCCAATAAATACCCTTTAAAACCCTCAAAAAGGATCAAAAGCCCCACGAATTTGTGCTAATACCTTGACTTACCGATTCCCAAAAAAGCCTTGACCCCCCAAGGTCATGAAAAACTGCACCGAGTCTTTAATTACTTCCCTTGCACCTCGGTGCAGTCGATATTGTCCTGACATTGCGCAATAGTCACTGTTAAATGAGAAGAATGACAGGATGAGCAAGAGTTTGTCATCAAGATTGAAAAAACCATTGGACTTCATTTTTAGTGATAAAACTAGACTTGGGAAGTGGGGATCAAGGCTATCACTATCGAAGAAACATGTGTGGTAATGGCTTTTAACTGATCAACTCGACAATTGATATTTATTGCCGTATAATCCATTGTTAAATGCGAATATCTTATCGTTGATCATTGATGGCGGTCGTTTTTGAGACATGTGTTTGATGCAGAATTTTAGTGATTTCTTCCAGCTCAGGATGATGACCATTGAATATTATTGTTTAGGCTGCTGCTGGTGCTGCTCGGCCCTCAGGCCAAGGTACAAGAGACTGGTTGACAATATTTTTCCAGTTAATCCACAGGTAATTAGGAGGTCATCTATTATTTCATAGTGGTTCAAGTTTTTTTTTTTTTTTGGTTTTTTGAAGAGTTTTATGAGATGGAATTGCGGAGTTTTCATTCGATGGCTGCAGCTTATTCAAATGCAATATATTTTTTAGGACGGTCTGGTGAAGAATAACATGGAAAAACTTACTTTCTACTCCCTGAGTAGTCCCGAGAAATTAGATAGAATTGGTGAATACTTATTCCAGCGTGCTTCCAGAGATATTTATAGACGACGAAATGGCTTTGTCATAATTGCCATGGAAGCCATGGATCAATTATTGCTAGCTTGTCACGCTCAAACGTTAAACCTCTTCGTTGAGAGTTTTTTAAAGATGATCCAGAAGCTCCTGGAATCGACGGATCCCCAGCTTCAGATAATGGCAACCCAGTCTGTGAGTTGAGGATTGTTTTTTAAAAAATAATCCACGCATGTTCTTGATCATGAGCAATAAAACCCTCCGATGAATGAAACTAATAATTTCGAATGATTTGGCTTCTTCATCGCATTTGCTACGGATTTTCACGATCACAAAACAGATTATTATTGTACCATTTAATCAAAAGCTCCAAAAACTCTTGTCTTCCAACAGTTTGTTAGATTTGCCAACATCGAAGAGGACACGCCGTCTTATCACACACGTTACGATTTCTTTGTATCAAAGTTCTCTGCAATGTGCCACGCCAACCACGACGACTTGGCAATACGCAAGCAGATTCGACTCGCCGGCATACAGGGGCTGCAGGGTGTCGTGAGAAAAACACTGAGCGATGATCTTGTCGAAAATATTTGGGAATCTATTCACATGGATAAGATTGTACCCTCTTTACTCTATAATATGCAGAATTCCAGGTGAACTACATTTATTTATAAAAATACCTTGAGTGACTATCATTCTTAAGCTTAAGATAAATTGTATAATTTATAAATACTTAAATTTTTTTAATTATATTCAGGTATGCTGATAAAGAAGGTACAACTCCAGACAGTCCAACAGAGGAGCGTTCTGATCCTCCACAGTTTGCAGAGACCTGCATGCGAGAACTAGTGGGTCGTGCATCATTCGGTCACATTCGGTGTGTCATTCGACCTGTTTTGCGGCACCTAGATAATCATCAGCTATGGGTTCCCAATTATTTCGCCATTCACACATTTCGGATTATTATGTTTTCAATTCAGGTGAGTAATAATTCATTTGTACCTAAATACAAGCGAAACTATATTTCAATATCTATTGTCCCTTTTTTTTCTGAAACATCAATGAATTGAATTCGTTCGAAAAGTTTTTTTCCATTCCGAATTTTTTTTTTATTCCAGTCCCAATACTCCTACACAGTGGTGGAGGCTCTGATGACGCACCTAGACGAGAATTCCAAGTCCTCCCCAAAGATTCGCACCAGCATAGCTGACACTCTTTCAAAAATAATTTCAATCGCCGCAGGAGAGAGCGTGGGTCCCTCAGTCCTCGAAATAATAAACTCTCTGCTCTCTCATCTGCGAATATCAGTAACCAGAAACCAGCACTCGAGCCCAGATGAGCAGCTGTACCAAGAGGCCCTGATAAATGCCCTGGGAGAATTTGCAAATCACCTCCCAGATTACCAGAAAATTGAGATAATGATGTTTATAATGAGTAAAGTACCATACAGCCAGCCAGACCGTCTGGTGTCAGTGGCCAAAGGTGATGTCCTTCTGCAGAGTATTCTCCTGAAATCCCTGTTAAAAGTCGGTTCCAAATACCAGACAATCCACCTCAACACGACATTCCCTCCATCCTTCTTGGATCCCCTCCTACGAATGTCACTGGCAGCTGATGCCGAGATGCGTCTGCTAGTCCAGAAAATCTTCCACACTCTGATAGATCGTCACCACAACATCGACAAGCTGGCGAAGCCCTCGATAAATCCCATGGAGCTGGATCTGGCGATCGAGAAATCCTCTCGCCCCGACGTCATCTTTATCAGAAAACATGGCCCTGAGATTTATCTGGCTCTCTACGAATCCCTGGAGTTATCCAGCAACTCGGTGGAGAATATTGAGGCCATTTACACGACTCTGGCACTCCTCATCGTCGAACTAGCATCTGAGGATACTGTCCTGGAGCAATTGAGACTTGTACTGAGTCTGCAGGACTTGGCACTCACCAGCAGTCAGATTAGCAGTGCTCTCAAGTTCAATCTTCATGCCGTTGTCATCAGTCTGCTGATGATGATAGCTCATGTCTGCAATATTGGAAGTCTCATGGAGTACAGTATAAAGATTGTTGAGGCAAGGCGGAGGGAGGGAGGGCATTTACTACCTGAGTTGAGGGGGCAATATCTTGGGGAATTCCAGAGGGTGGCTGGAGGAGTGTTGGTGGATCAGGGGATTGTCACTGAGTGCCTCAAGACTGCTGGATTGGATGCTATGAAACTACAGCAAGGATCAGGCTACAGCAGTTCATCCCTGCAGCACAGACACTCCTGGGTGGACAGTGCTGGCAGAAATTCCATTGCTGATATTAATGCTGGAAATAATGAGTTGGATTCTGGGGCTAGCTCACCTGGAGTCTCCAGGAAACTCGTGGAGGAGCTCACTTTCGAGAGCATGAAGAAAATTCTCACTGAGTGCAATAATAGTCAGGGGCTCGAGGAGGAGAAGAGGGCACAGCTGTCTCAGTACTTCAGGAATGCAACGTTTCAAGATCTCGTTTCTAAGACTCAGCCTAAGGGGGATGTACTCCAGAGCAAATTGTCGGATATTTTTAATTCACTTACGATGGAGGGGAGAAATGTTGCTGTGCCGAGTGTACAGGTTGAGAATAAGGTCAATGTGCCGAGTTATGAGGTACATTTCCCTGAGTTGTTCGTTTATTAAGAGGAAAATTTATCTGCGAAATTGTTTTTGGGAGAGATCTTATGCTAATGGAAATATTATTTCGCGAATCCCCTGAGTCTTTCTATTCAATTTTTTCGCGCGTGGAATGATAAAAAGTTATGATGTTCATTAGGAACAAAGCTGCTTCGATGGTACAAGAGTTTATTAAAAAAAATCACAAAGGCTTGTGAGGCGTTGGAGGTATTTTCGGTTAGAATTGTTCTTAAAATAAATGAGATGATTGAAAATGGAAAATCCTTAATTCACGACTAATTTCAATTGCAAGGATTGATGAATATGATATTATGGGATTTTAATTGTCGTTGCTTAAGCAGGATGAAGACAATTTTTTCACGTTTTGTTAATGATATTTTCGTGGGGGATGAAAGGTTTTAGGAAGAAGTGACGGTTTGGGGGGAATTTTATGTGTTATAAATGGAGCTCACGCTTTGCTCTGATCACTTGTTTCCAAAATGCACAGTTAGTAGAAATTATGGGTCAATTTGTTACGTTTACCAATTCATTAACCATGGGTTCTTTTTTATTCTGCAATTATGCACAATTCCAAGGTATTTTTGTATTAATGCCGTCATGTTGATATTTACTGCGGTATTATTATAACACGACAAATCATGCTATTTATTTATTGTTCATTTTTGTGCTGAAGTATTGTGAAGTAATAAAGTTTATTAGACAATATTTCCTTGCTTCTCATCAAGTGCTTTCGTTAATAACACAAAGGTAAGTTTTTTCTCCCGAAAAATCGCAGAATCACAGAATTCCCTTTCTGTTTGTAAATATTTCCCGGAATTTCTGCCCGAAATTTTGATTGAAAAGATCATTGACCTATCGGTGTAATTTCCCTCCGGATTATTTGTCATTAAAATTAAGACGAACGATAAATTCGAATAAAAAAAAATTCAGAAGTGATACGAGTAAATAAAAAAAAATCCTGAACAATATAGCGCGCGCTTTTGTCTCGCTGAAGTATAAAGGGAAAACGACACAATTGAAATTGTAAGGTAGAATAAATATGCAATTGTTTATGATTTAATAATTCTTTAATTCAATCGCTCGTTACAAAAAGGAGAAATAAAAAAAGACACAAATATTAAATGGTACAATAACACGGTGTACAATGCATAAATATTTATAAATGCGATCATGGTGGAAAAATTCCAATGATTTTACATCGAAAAGGTTTAAAATATTGTGTTGTTAAATATTTTTTAAAAATTTTAGAACCTTCAAAAATTGAAAAATTTCAGAAGTCGAGTTGGTCATTGCAATCCACCAATGGAGCTTTATCCTGAGTTATAGTTGATACAAGATCGATTTAATTAATTAGTCTGACACACGCTGAGGCACCTGAGCGATTGAATAAAGTGTACATTGTGCCGTTGTCGAATTAATTTAAGAAAAAAGGGTTGTGACTTCTTTATGATGTTTAACGGCAATTAATTCCTCCATTTTGGTCAGTTTGGCATTTTAGCGATGGAAGGGCATTCAAGATTGGACCTTGATGAGCTCAACGTCGAAAACGAGGGTTGCGTTTGGTGGAATAACGCCAGGGTGACCTCGACTGCCGTATGCGAAGTCCGGTGAACAGGTCAAGCGAGCATGCTCACCTACAGACATCTGAGCAACTCCCTGATCCCATCCTTTGATAACATCACCTTTTCCAATTTTAAATTGGAAGGGTTTGCCGTGATCTCGACTTGAATCGAATTGCTTTCCGTTTTTTATTTTACCTTCAGCCAATCAATCGAATATCAAACATAATACACATGAATAAACATAATCATTTTAATGACGATAATTCATACCTGTGTAATGGACAACGACAGTCTGTCCAGTCTTTGGGAAGGTACAACCTGTAAAAATATTCATTTTATACAATTATTTCAATCAATGCAATAGAAAATTCATAGAAAAACCTTCATGCTCCCAATACTTTTTTTGAAAATTTCGAATTTTCAAATTTCAGTGAATACCTCCTCGATTTTCATGTTCCCCTGATACTTTCTTCTTTTCTTTCTCTTTTGTATGAAAACATGTTATCATAAAATCCAAGAGAGAAAACTTGACAACCGTGGCTAATTAATCTTGCAGTAAAAAATCTGAATTTGAAAAATCTGAGGAAAGAACGACCACGAGGTCAGACTCCTCCGAGTCTGACTTCCTCATAATTTATACGAATATTGATTTCACAAAGAAGTGCGGCGTCTTGACTAGGGAATCATGAAAATCCGAGTCCTTGACACGGCGTCCCTTCCCCATTACATCAACCCGATCCTCTAGAACCTCCAATTTTCCTCGTAATGACCAATACGCAAAAGCAGAAAAAAAAAAGCTGAACAGTTAAAATATGCAAATAATTACCGTCCCCGGGTGAAATAACTTCGACATCCACGCCCATGGCTGCTCGATACCTGGACGAATAATGATTTTCAATAGTTATCAGTAGTTCTCCTCGTGTTTTTTATCCACACAGATCACGGGTAATTGACGAAATTGTTTGTTGAAAGGAAATTGAAATAATAGAATGAGTGTACGTACCTTTACACACACGAGTTTACGATCGAAATGCAGCCGCTGACTGAATGTGACCCTCGGTAATAATTTTAATACTTGAAGCCGCCGATAGAGAACCAACCCTTGGTTTTCAATTGTCGCGACACGTCGCCGACATTCAAACTACCCCCAGCAGAAATAAAAATTAAACCTAGGGGCCCTAGGGCCCTCCTTCAGTTCCACGTCAAGAAGCAAAAAATGAATGATTAATTAATTAATCCAATAATTAATTAATTACTGATTGATTGATTGAGATTACCTAATTATTCTCAATATTGTGTAAAAATAGGGATCGCAAAAAAATTTTTGGAAATTAAATATCGATAAAAGAATGATTTCGAAAATTGAGGGATTGATTTAAAAAAAAAAATTGAAGGCATTAAATGCCCATAGCATAATATAAACACTGGTTCTATACATACGTTATGTATTAGTATGTATAATTTCTGCTCATGAACACCTGTTGTGTGTAAACATAACCCCCCAGCCCCCGTTGACACTGAAATTCCTGAGGGCGTGAATGCCCCTGGACTCATGTTTTTAATTAAATGATAAATGAATAATAATGTTTGCTTTATTGGGTGATATAAATCTCTGGAGCTGCGATGACAATATTAATATCCTCGACACAGACTTCGGAGCATTCAGGTACAACGACAGAAGGACTGATGGCCTCTACGACGAGGGAAAGAGATCCTTCTGCAACGATCGTGGTATCATCCACACCCCAGTGAATAAAAAAGGAAAAAAATTGAAAGACGGACTCAAGTGTTTAGAGGAACAATTAAGAGATCACTCGATCATCTTCTCAGAGTGGCATGACCAGAACTCTCTTCAACTGATGCTCAACACAGGATTACTAATGTATATTCAGGTGAAATCTCAGACTGCTGATATTGAAAAAATTGCTATGGACAAGTACCTCATTGGAAAAGTGCCAGATCATCTCTCAGATGCCATAATAACGAGAGAAAATCTCGTCTGTGCGCAAAACGACAGTCAGATCACAATTTTGCATTTCACGAAATCGAAGAGACTGGGTTTCGAAAAAATCGGAAAATTGGAGCCCAAACTGATCACTGTTGACCTCTCTGGACCCAGTGGGAGGAGAATTGAGAAAAAAATTTGTGTCAATCGAACAGGTGACCTGGTATTGATCTGGTGGAAGTCGACGAGCAACGACGTCTATCCCTGGAGTCCAGCGATGAAAGAGCACGACAGAGCTAACGTCCACCTCTATCGTCTCAGAGGATTGAAATTCGACTTGCTCTGCTATCTCAGGACGGAGTTCGATCCTCTCTGCATCATATTCAACTCAAAACAGGAGAACGTCATCCATTCCATCGAGCAGAAGGTGTCGAGGAAGGGAGAAGTTACTATAGAATGGCAGACGTACCAAGTCTCACAACAGGATAAATTGCAGAGGATCGCAGTCGTTTCGATTCCACTGCCGACGCACACGAGTTGCGCCAGATTTTCACCAAATCAGGAACTACTCCTGTTGTGTTGTATCGATGGATCTATCACCCTTCACGATCACAATAAGGGGACTAATACAAGCGTCAAGGCTGGATTTATACCGACTCTAGCATCCTGGCACCGTGACAGCTTTTTATTTACCGTTGGAAATGAGCGAGGGCAGTGTCAGCACTACGACATTGCCCTCACCTGCATAAAAACCCAAATATTGAACGAGGACTTGACACAGTCGACGATCCTGGATCTTTCCACGTACTTCAGGAGTCAGCCTGCCCTCTTGCAGATATCCTGGAGCAAAAGGCCCGACGACGATGTTTACTATAACGATCGATACAAAAATCGAGATTCCCTCCTTCTTCTTTCCTTCGAGAGGGGCCCACTGGGGGCCTTACGAATCGTGGAGGGCAGTAATTTGAGTGGAGACGTTCTGGTATTCAAGTATCTCAATTTATCATCACCAGATCGTGCTACTTCTCTCCTCCTGTCCATGAATTGGGACAATCATCCTAGGATCTGCATGCACTCGTTGAATCAAATTCTCAATCATCTTTTTAAGCTCCAGCTGCTGCCAGAACGTGAGAGTCTCATTCAGGAGGCACTTGGTAGCTTTCACGTGCCGATTCGTCCGATAAGTCAAGCTGTGGAGGACGAGTACGGTGACGAGATCAGAGATCTCACTCGACGATTTTTTCACCACCTGATGCGATACAAATTATTCGATAAGGCATTCAGACTTGCCATCGATCTCAACGATCACGATTTATTCATGGACATTCATTACTACGCCCTCGTCGTCAATGATCTGGAGATGGCGAGAGCTGCCAAGGAAAAGGCTGAGCTCGTCCTCAGCAGATCAAACAGCTGCACTAGCTCGCATTCCACCTGTTCAAGGCCATCGTGTTCTCTCTGCTCGGAGTCCATTTCCTCGAACGAGAGTGAATCGTATACTGAGGAGAGTGGAAGTGACTCTCCAAGAAGATGCAAGAAATTCTCGAAATCCCCTCTGTCCCAGGTGCCTCCTCTTCCAATAATTCCCCAGGTCTCCACGTCCTTTAATTTGCCCTCTCCTCAGAGATGTCCCCTTCCAAGTCTCTACGACTTCCCCGAGGTGAATTCCTCCCTGACGCGAATGTCCTTGACCTCTAATTCCCCATCGAGAAGAGCCTTCTCACCCCCCAGGACTCCTCCAAAGCTGGAGGACATCATCTCCGTGGATATTCCCAATTCAATCGAGTACTCTTTCATGAACCTCGAGACAAACCTGACGAGCACTTCATTTATCTCCGAGGGGAGCCCCCCGAAGCCCCTGAGGGGTGCCGAGGAGGTTTTAAAGGGACGCGAGAAGTCCCAGGAGCTTCTATTCACTTCTGAGAATCTCGTGTCGACGTCCTTCAATGAGGAACCCGACGAGGAGGAGGTCCCTGATGAGGATACGGATCTGTTCGAGGAGGAGTCCATTGGGAATGGAATTGGGGTGCCTCCACCCCCGGAGATGACGTCCTCTTTGGCGAATTATCTCAGTAATCTTCCTATGAAGAATTTACCCATCTCCAGGAGCACTCCAGGGCTCTCTGATATCGATGAACTCATCAGGTTTTCCTCGCGGCCTCTTCAGGGAGTGCAAACTCAGTCCTCGGTGTCTGCTATTCTACAGGGGAGGGGAAGGGTTCCTCCAGGAGGCAGCAGGACCATCAGGTTTAATTATGATCTTGGGGGGGACGTGGGGAGATTCTCGGGGAGTTGCGAGGATCTCGTGAGGACCACAGGTCACTCCAGGGGCAGGGGCAGAAGGCGACCTGAAGGAATTTCAAATGTTCCTCCACTGCCTGTCGTCGCGGGCAGAGGAATCGACGGATTTGGGGAGAGGCCCAAGGTCAAGTTCTCCAATACTGTGACGCATATTCTCGTGCCAGGAACTGTAAGTTGGGATGAGGAAATCCAGGGGAATTTTTTTATTTATTTGGAAATAATTAACTCATGAATTAGGGACAGGGCTATCGACCTATACAGCGACCTGTGACGAAGCTCCATCCCATGGATCCTAAGAGAGAACTTGCAGAGAGTCTACCCCTGTGTCTTGGAAACGAGGACTACCTGAAGGACTTTCAGCCACTCTCAAGTAAAAAAATCAACGGATAATTCCATTCACGTGTGAGTTGAGAAATTAAAATTCATAGAAATAATTCGCATTTCAGAAGACTCCGGAAACGAGGATAAGCCAAAAGAACCGGTAAAAACCGAAGAGACAGTGAAAATCAAAGTTGTGCACTTCGGACTCCTGTGAGCACCTCATCAGGGAATGAATAATATTTTTATCGAATCATCGGATTCCGTCCAAAAATAGAGATTACCGCACCCCAAATGGGATGATATTTTTTATACTTTTTTAAACGAAATAAAATGGAATATTCTGAAGCGACTGATGAATTTTATAAATTAATTTTGAAGGTACAGGGAAATTATTTTTTTGGCTGCTGAATGTGCTCGAGTTCTGTTTTAAGCTCGAGTAATTGTTTGTCTGGGATGTAACGCCCTTCCTCTTTATCGGGGTCCCATTCATCGATGTCGAGGGTGACACCTTGTGGAAGAGCTGCCTCCAGCATTCGAGTGTATATCGATAGCCTTGGGGCTGATATATCACTGATGACGATGTTCCTCTCGTAGACGTGGAGGATGTATTCAGCTTCAGCTACTGTAGATTGAGACTTTAATTTCAAGACTTTCAAGTCCTTCGAAGGAACTGCAAAACTGAAATAGTAAGAAATTCCATTCATAATTAATTGGCAATGATTATTGGTGTAATTACTCTAATCACCTGTTATCAATCTCGAAATCCATGTTAACAGCGATAATGTGCGCCAATTTCTGGTAATTCTCGAGAATGGGAAAATCGTATCCCCTCATCTTGATATTTAAAATGGGATGCTGAGGAATTTTTGGTTTCATTGCCTGATGAACAGAAAAGTCCATCGAAGTTCCACATTAGCCATTTAAAAAACAACAACAAATTTTATGTTGTAAAAAATTAAAAAACACTCACATCCAGGTAGTCAGGAGTCCACAGATGACTGTAGCCTCTGGAGATTATACCTGAAACCACCCCCCTGGCCCCTACCACCTATTAAAAAAATATTACACACGAATAAACAAATGTACCTCTAAAAAATGGAGGTTATCCCACATCTCTCTTAATTCCACCAAAATTCATCAATTAAATTACCTTTTTCAAAACACACCCCGCCATCTTCCCCCTCTGCTCTCCCCCGCGCCACAAAAATCTCGAAATCACAAAAACAAATTAACAAAAAACATTAATTTAATAATAATAACATCCACTCCCGCAGATCAGAGGAAAGTCACATGATTCGAGGAGACACCACAGTGGGGATAAAAATCGTGAATTCGAGTATTCAATTCCCGGGGTTTGAGTAATGAAAATGAAACATTTTTTATTTCAAATCAAAAAGTGTAAAAATCTCTTCAAAATGACGTCAACCATTCAAAATTTCCCTCATTCACTTCAAAGTTATTAATTATTGAAGATCGGTTAATTATCATGCTCTTCTCCTGGGGCGTTCATATCATCTCCGATATCTCTGTGAGGAACAGTTCAAATGGAATAGTTTTTTGGGGGATTGAAGAGAATGGAGAAATCTGAAAATTGCAATGACATTGATCGAATTTGACTCAGCCATTCTGGAGATATTGCCTTTTGAATATTGAGTGACTCTCAATTCCATCTGCAGGGAAAGAATCGAAATAATCCCGCGATTATTATTCACTTGTTCTTTTTCCCGCAGTCTCGCTACCGATTTCTCGACTCTCCAGTTCGATTTCACAATTTTCTGGATGAACTGATAACTCCGCAATAATTGTTTTCCTGTTAAAATAACAGTAACACTAATCGCAATCGCGGGAGTTTATCTGGGATAAATTAGTCTAGTCAAGAAGTGGATGGAATTCGATTGATCATTTTTTTTTTTCAAAGTAAGTTATCTTTGTTACCATAAATTGTTATCTCTCGTGTACACTTGTCATACGCTCATTAATCCCATTAATCCAATGGCTTTTACTCATCAATTTCTCTCAATTCTCCCTTTTTTCACCTCCATCTCTTTTTCTACAACAATTTGGCGATAATTAGTGCTGATTAATTCGATTATTCATGATACCATCGCTTAATTGATTAATCAACCGATCAAGACGTCCAATTAAACTGTAATCTTGCACATTTGGAATGTCTGAAGGTTTTTTTCCATGAAATTCCCTGGAATTTCATGCAGAAATTGCTATCGAGTCTCAGGGCTTTTTAATTATTTCCATCAAATGATTTTTACTTGTCCTACTGGAGTTTCCCAGTAGTGGAAAACCCAGAGTAATTATTTATCTTCTTGTTGGCATATTTCTTTGGACTCTTTTAATTGCTTTTTATTATTTGTATTTGAGTTATCACTCGATGGCAGAGTTTACAGATGATTTTGAATTTCAGTTTACTAAGAAACAAATTATCTCGGGCAAATAAATGTATTTAACTCTCACTTTCGGGGAAATATCTCTGAATATAAGAGAGATATCGAGATTAACATAGAATCACCATTTTTATTTTTGTTTAAGCAACATAATTATCGGAAATAATTTTTTTTCTCAGTGTTATTGCTTTTTCAATGTGGAATCAATCAAATCATCTCCGCAAGGACATTCCAGATTTTTTATTGAGAAAAATTGTCACCGCTAATTTTTTTATGGAATCATAAATTATTTATTGATTAATTGTAAATAATTACGAGCGATGAAATTGTAAACGGTTCATTACTTCGTCGATTGTCACTCGTTCATACATTTTCTCAGAGTTATCTGGATTTTTTTTTATCGTGACCCTGACGAATATTTTAGTTTGAAACTAAATCGAGACCTATCGAATCGAAGATCGAACCATTCGGAGCTCGTGTCATCCCAGATAACCCATAATTCAATTGTCAATCATCCTCAACGAAGACAGCGATAGATAATCGATTATTCAAGTTCTTATCAGCAGTAATTAATGAAAAATTCATATTCGCAACCGCGATATTTGTTTATCCATTTTTTCGTTCTGAATAAATTGCTCTAAATTACTCTAATTAAGGATTTTATAAACTCGTTAACATTGATTTTAATTTAAATTCAATTCTATTTGAGTAGGGGAGAAAGTTGAAGAGGAAATGGTGAAAAAAAATTCAATATTAATGGATAAATAGAATTCATAGAATTACCACTGGATCTCTTTATCAATCGATCGTCTATCTCTTTTGCGTTTATTTTTAATTCATTTGTAACTGGTTTCTCTCTCCCGGAAAAACCCGACCGAGTATCAAATGATTTCTCGTATTCATGTGCACTCATACGGGGATGAGACGAGGGTCCTTGATGACTTGGTGGAGGTCATGGTAGCGGTTCCAATGCGTGACGTCTCTCTTTTGTGTTAAGGTATGAGTGGACAGCAGGTTCATTATCATATGAATTATGAGCTGTTGTCTTTCAGACAGGCATTCTACTTTGTCGAGACGGGTAATTGCTTTTTGGAATCCCGAGAAAATTAAAATAATGCTATAAATAATAAATTAAATAAATAAAAATCGTTTCTCATCGATTTCTCAGTGAATCACTTTTTGACAGCTGTGCATTTGGGCATTTATCTTGAGAATCAGGGGAGCTAGAAAAAAATGACATTTGAATTTTGTATACAAAATTTCGTCCTCTGTGAAAAAGCTTTTATGACTTTTCCTTCTAGAACCACTCGGTGCTGAGATAATCAGGCATTCAAATTGGAGTTAATTAAATTTACTGCATACCTCAAATCAAATTTACGGATTTGGATAAGAGATTCAGTGGTTCTAAGAAATTCATTATCTTGTGTTATCTTCATGGTTTATGTTTTCCTTTTGAAAAATAATAAATAAATAAATAGTGGCAGTAAAGCAGAGTTTCCTTATTGATGATTGAATTATGACTGTCGAAGTGATAAATCGAATTGTTTTGCCGGGTATCTTAAAAACCAGTGGAGATTGCGAGATCTTCGTTAAACCTTTTCGATAGGAAATTTAATTATCTGCAATAATGACCATATCGAAAAATGCGCTATATTTTGCGGTTGTCCGGATATTTCCAGAAACGTGAGGTGTTTGATCGGTTGATTGGAAAAATTATGTTTCAGACCTGGGAAAATGCCGATTCTCACCGATTTATCTCGTCGTCTCAATCTGTTGACGACGGACGCAAAACCAGATCCCCCTCGAATCCATATTAGTGATAACACAAATAATCTCAGCCCGAGATTGAGCCCAAAATCAGCACCACCGACGCCGGGAGCAAACAACACTGATGAAGTAAAAAGAGATCGAAGAAGTTCGATGCCTGAGGGTTCAGACACCGAAAAAGACCGGAGGAGCTCCACCGAGACGAAGAAAACGAGATATAAGACAAGGAGTCATAGTACAAAGAATGGTAAATTTATCTCTAACCAGAATCATCGATAATAGAAATGGTAAAACGAGATTTTATCACACCGGAAGTTAGTTTCGTTGGTTCTTCACGGCTACCTCGAGAACTGTAGGAGATAGGAGATTTTGATGAGGAGTTATCTTGTAGAGCCAAGTCCAGACTAAAAAAATAGTCCTATAAAAATTTGTGCCAGCTGTGCTAGAATTAGAGATATTCGTAATAAATGTTTAAACATTTCAGGACAAACAGCGAATATTGTGAACTACAACATTGTGAATTCTAGTGGAGTGAAGATAGGAGCGACGACGACGTACGTCTGCAATGTGAATCAGTACTCAGGGAGTCCCCCGAAGGACTCGAGCCCTGGGAGGACCTCCCCGAGGCCGAAAGGTGCACCAATGCCAGAGGAGGTCGAATCCCTGTGGAGGGAGAACCGACCTCTCACTCTCGACGACATGTTTGTGATAAAGACACACCTGGGAGTTGGGTGGAAGGACTTCTTCAAGGCTCTCGGGTACTCCGAGGGTCAGCTGGAGCAATTTGAGGAGCATCACAAGGTCAAGGGACTCGACGAGGTACTCAACACATAATTCCCTCTTATTTTTCAACGGGCAATTTTTTTTTTTCGCTCTTTCAGGTAATTTATCAGACTTTACTCGACTGGAAGCAATCCTCAGGTAGTGAAGCACGAGTTGGTGTTCTCGTGAAAGCTCTCTGGAGGTGTGAGCAATATGACTGCGCTGGAAGACTCGCCCAACCCCCAAGAAATCTCTGAATAAATTTTCCCCACGTGAGTCGTCGTGACAACAATATTGGCGTCTCAAATTATCACCTGACATCGATAAATGATTGATGGAAATCATCAGACGCTCGAAAATCGATGATTAATCTGATGAAAAACTGAATTTAATCAATTTATTCTCATTTGTGATCGTAAATTTGGGTTTATCTACTCTTGTTGCTCTTTGGATACATTTTTATTGAATAAATGTCTTTTTATAAGCTTGTCTACACCATTCGTCATCCAAAAATATTTTATTAATTAAATATCAACTAGACTTATCGAATTATTTTTAAGGCATCACTTTGGAAATTTGATTAGCACTCATGCCTTAATGGATAAATTGCTCGTCAAATGCAGTCGATATGAACTCGTAACATAATAATTAATCTAATCATTTCACTCAGACAATGGAAATCAATTAATACTCGAAGAACGAGTGAAAGGTGAATGATTCAAAAATTCGGAAAAATTACAATTTTCTCATTTTTTAAATGAGGATTCACAATCAATATATTGAGTAGTCAATTCTTTCTTCTTGTCTCCTTGAAATTAGAAACAATTTAATAAAAAAGAGGTGAAGAATGGAAATTTTTATTCGTGAAAGAGTCCTTGAGAGTTTTCTTTTGAATTGAATAATTTGCCATATAAATCGATAATGGTAGAGTATAAAATAGAATGGGATTTTTAAATTTTTGGCATAGAACGACAATGGACTACCGAAAAGAATTTCATCGTTACCTCTTTGTTATTTTTTTATGTACATCAATAAAATATTCTCCTTCGTTAAGGCCCGCAAGGAATATCTATCGAACATGATCTTTCGTTTAAATGCTATCGTGTTAGATCACATTCGATGATAGCCCATGCGAGCTTTATCGATGAATGATAAAATTAAAACGAGTTTTTAGTCAGTCAGCTCCAATTTTCGGTGCACTCACAGGTGTTCTCAGGGATCTTGTGTCTCTTTCAGACTGTCCACAGCTCTCGAATATTTTCGCCTTGCACTTTTCGAATTGCACAAACATCTCCTCCATGCTCTGGTCAGCATCCAGAATTATGACTGGCGCTGGAAGTGAGAAGAGGGTCTTGTGGTACAGCCACTCCTCGTGAATTTGGTGAACCTCCTCGAGGTACTCCAGAGACACGAGGTTTTCTTCCTTTCGAGCACGAGCACGCATTCTCCGATAGACGATGTCGGGAGTTGTTCTCAAATAAACTATTAAATCTGTCTCAATGACAGCATGTGTGATACACCAATCATACCATTTATCTAGAACTGTCGCCTCGACCTGTTTGAGAACATTTCTCCTCTTCATGTTTTCGATGAAACAACGAGCGCTGTAAACCGATCTCTCCATTATTTTGTAAGGGAGAGGTGTCTTCATTGTGTGGAGCTGTAACATCGTCAATTGCACGTAGGACTGAAACAGACAGGCGTATCTCCCCGGATCTTTGTACATCAAATCCTGCAACCGACAAACATTCAAAAAATTCAAAGTAAACAGTAAATGACGAATAATTTGAAAATTAATGGGTTTAGATAAAAATGGTAGAGGACTTTTTTGGGGGCGATTGAATGAACTACGAAAAAGGTCTTATGATATTTTTTACTAGGAGTACGAGGGGTCGAGATAATTCGATTTTACCAGGAGATTCATTCCGTCGACGTCCCTCCAGAGCTCCACTGGCTCCTGCAGGACAACCGTGTTGTTGAACTGCTTGAAATTATTCAGAAAAGTTGTCTTTCCACTTCCGATGTTCCCCTCGATGCACACGGTGAAGGGCCGGCTGTAGTTCTTGCAGGAGGTTGTCATTTTTGGGACCAATATTAACCCACGTCGTACTAAATCGAAAAATAAATTTATTCCTCTCTCAAATGCTCGAGAACTCTAAGTCGCAGGTACCAAGTAAACAAAAGATTATCTACCCCCCTCCCATTGAAAATTCACGAATAAAATAGACAATCAATCAACCATCCATTCAAGATCATTATTAAAAGAATTATTAATTATTCGTCATATCTCCAGAACTGATGGAAATATCAAAATTTCTGCAATAATATTTTTTCCAGCCCCAACCAGCTTTACAAAAAATATTTTCATAAAAATGCCAATGTCTCAGTTAGCCTCGCTTCTACGATGTCGGTACACAATGAAATATTTCACCTTATGTCAATAAGAAAAAAATTCTGATGTCCAGTCTTCTTCAAACGTCCAGGAATTATCGAAAATATGAATAAATTCGAGGCGTACAACACAGAATAACAAACACTTGGTCCAACGAATTTTCCTGGACGCGGGACAATGTACGAATGGGCTTGTGGTGATGTTCGACTGTTTGGGCACGTCCAGGATGTTGCTGGATCCCGCCAAAAGTTGTTCCATTCCAAGAAATTCGATCGCCAGAGGGCGATCGGAAATCGTAACGAATCCGTACTAGCTTCAGACTAATGAAATTGTCAGATATTTATAAATATTGATAAAAATCTGGTCAATCGTCGTCAGTCATTCGTCGAATGGAAAGGACATTTAATAATCATTTGAAAATAATCTGCACGTGTCGTGGAAATTGTGGCGGAGTCGATCAGCTGATTTTCAAAGGAATCGAGATGACTTACCTAGTGACACCATCTTCATAGGGTTATCCGGGCACTGCACTGTGTCCTGACCTCCACTTTGTTATTTTTTTGATGATTCAATTAGTAATCTGAATTTTACGAAGACGTTGGGACGTCCACGGGGTGCCGGCTGTCATCGACATTTTATTATGACTCGATCAGTAAAAAAGAACTCGATTTTACCCAGTGATCATTCGAATTTTGAATTTTCATTTCGATTTTTCTACGGGTTATTTGATTATTCCATTGTTTAAATAATATCCGCATTATGTATTGTTCGTGTTTGTAATCATTTCTTTCAATCGGATAATTTGTAATAAATAAATTAAGTCGACGGGGTGAATTTTATGTTCTACGGTGTGAATGCTCTTTGTTTTTTATTTGTTTAACTGCAATTTAGCCGACTGTAGAACGAGCGGAAGGGGGAAGCCACATTTTGTTGTATTTCAAATGAAAAAAATTATTCAATATATTGAACATATACTACTAATGAAATTATAATTTTAGAATAAATGCGTTGTTTAATCGGCAGCGTGCTTGTCTACCACGCCGACGGGCAGGGTTCAATCCCGCCAACATTATTTTTTTTTCTAAATAATTCCTATTTTCTTTTTGTTAATGATTAATCATTCGAAATATCATTTAAAAATTGAATACCTCCTCGACGTTCATGTTCCCCTGATACTTTTTCAAAAATTTTGAAAAATTTTAAATTTCAAATTTTTAAATTTAGAATTTTCACGTCTAGTGAAATACACACCGTCGGTAATGTGGATCCCTGAAATGCCAACAGCTGGTAATATGGCTCGCGAGTATGTCGGCAAGTGGTGAAAAGATCGAGTAGTAAAGTATCGAGTAAAAAAGTTTAAGTATAGAAATTGAAAAATTCGAAATTTTTGAAAAAGTATCAGGAGAACATGACAATCGAGGAGCTATTCACTGAAATTTTCACTGAAAGTGAAAAATTCGAAATTTTTGAAAAAGTATCAGG